TATATATATATATATATATATATATATATATATATATATATACATTTTTTTTGGTAGTTCAAGAAACTATAATAGCAAAATTAATTAACAACTTAATGTCTATTAAAAGAAGAGTCTTTTTCATATTTTCCTCTATTGTGCTTTATCACAGGATATTGAACACATTTCCCTGTGCTATACAGTAGGACCTTGTTGTATATCTATTCTATATGTAATAGTTTATATCTGCCAATCCCAAACTCCCAATCCATTTCTCCCACTTAACCGTAAAGCTATTCTCTATGTCTGTGAGTCTGTTTCTGTTTCATAGATAAGTTCATTTGTGTCATAATTTAGATTCCATGTATAAGTGATATCATATGGTATTTGTCTTTCTCTTTCTGTCTTATTTCACTTAGTATGATAATCTCTACGCCCAACATGTTGTTGCAATTCTAAATGGCTGAGTAGTATTCCATTGTATATAGGTACTGCATCTTCTTTATCCAGAATGTGACTTTATTTGAAAATAAAGCTTATACTCATTGGCTAGAGTGATGATAAAGTCATATGCACAATGTAACTGCTACTTGATCTCTCCTTTCCCTCTGTGCAGCAACATATATAAATTGAACTCTCATCATTTAAATGTATGTAAAATGCAACTCCCCTCAATAAGACTTTATGAGCTGCAATTAGAGTCTGGATGGACTGGTAAATGAGACCCTTACCTTCAGGGCTGTTAAGCATATGACAGACAGATGTAGCAGGATTTGTGCATTTATATCTCTGACATCCTTATCTATAAAACACGCTAAAACATTCCAAGCTGATGTCTGAAAAGTATTTAAATTGATATTACAGATTCATTAATATGGAAAAGGGTGATTGTAAGAATTAAAAAAAACTAGAAACAAATAGCTAAGTTAGGCCACTAAGGGGAGGAGAGAATGGGAGATGCCCAGTAATATTACTTAATATTTACACTAATATGTGCTGGTTTGATATACGTGTGCTTTTAGAGAACAGAAGCATGTTCAATTCTAGGATCACCAAAGCATCTCCACGACCCATAATAGATCAAACTAACTATTATTGGAGCTCTTGCTCTTATTTTAGTAACTCGGGCTCTGTTCCAAAGGGTAGTCCTTCAGTTTTTCTCTAAGTACTTCACATAGGATTTAGATATACAGTCATCCAGAGGATAGCTCTCTTTGAGTACAGTGGGGTGGAGTCTTCCTGGTGTATTGATAGAGCTCTTATGCAGATAGCAGTACATCTGTTTGTTTTCACATCTTTCCTCATATTTAGGTGAATTACTCTAGCAACCAATTAGCAGAGCTCTTTTATCAGCTAAGACAAGTGACTCACTGCTAATGCAATCTGGGATCCATCGTGAACTTACAGACTCAGCGAATCCAAGGCCATGGCCTTCCTCTCACTGAAGACCTCTGACATTTTTGTGTATTGATTACACACCTGGAAGAGCAAACATTTCACTGCATTGACAAGTGTGCTGTTTTAGCACAAAACTGATAGAGAATGGAAATATACCTTCCTCTTCTGTGAGCTGTAGGCAGATCTGTGGCAGAGTCTACAGAGCTGTCTATGATTTATTAGATCATTAAAAACACCCAAACAATGGAAGTAGATGGCTCTTTATTTCTTCTGATCTGAAGCCTAAGCTTAGTTGGAATCCTGAAACGTCTAAAAGAGCAGCTGCCATTGACTGCACATAGATAACCATTAGAATGGTTGACTTCCTCCATCCTGGGCTCTCAATTATCCAAGAGCTGCCTTTTGTGTGTATAATCATTCTTAAGGAGACAGGTCTTTAAATAAGTCTTTTCTAATAACTCCTTGTGAATCTGACTATGGAGAATAGAGTCTGACATCAAGATATCATCTTACAAGATAAAACCACAGAGAACAGACATGGACAAACAAGGAGGGATCATCAAGATAATGAAAAATATGAATAGTGACTGAGGGATAAAGGCTCCACATCTGACAGGAGAGAAATGAACATTCTTTTTCCCCTCAAAGTGTATCTTTAAAGGAAAAATATAGTCTCTCTTTTACAATATGTAGGAGTAAAATAAGAAAATAGGCAAAAGACAAAATATTTCTAAAAACTGGAGTCTGGGGAGTGGTGGACACAGATGAGAACCTGATTTATCTCCTTTTCATTTTGTTTCAATTTAAATTGAGTTATTGAAATACTACATACATTTCTGTAGTGATGTCTTGATTCAATGTATAGTTTTGTCTTACAGTCTCAAATCTTTCTGAAGTCAAATAACTTTTATGTTAATGAGAAGGTAATGACAAATGTACTTTTTACTTAAGATTTACTATTGAAGAGTACTTATCTTTAGCCAAGAATATGATGACTTGTAATAAACTGACTTTTACTTGTGTTGTTACCAAATTTTTGTTTTTAATATTATCTGAATTGTATGCAGACAAATTCAAAATCAGAAACATCAGTAAAGATGGATAAATGATGTTAGGTAGTGTTTGCGAAGAAAGTCTTATTTAAGTAACTTCCACATATGATTTTTCTTAAATTCTTAAAAACTGTTTGGAGACATTAAATGAAAGGGGATTAAAAGGAAGAATTAGTATTTACCTAAATCAGTATTTATCTAAATTCTCCATCCCTTTACAGTTCAAAGATTACCCCCCTCCCCCATAGTATGATAATCTGAGAGCATAGTCTCTTCTATATTAATCTATATCCCTTTTTAGGGCAGGGTGTCCAACGTGGTCATCCTGGGGTTCTCTCACTGTCCACAGCAGTGGTTTGCAAATAGCAGGTTTAATACAAGTCTGTTACAAATGACCTGATTCATGAGACTCAATCCTGCTCTTCTTCAGTCTCCTACTTGTCTTTTAGGCCTCCTCTCCTACTTTATACTTCCTTAGAACCTTGAAATTTGCCAGATTCAGCATATGTGAGGTCTCACTGGATACCAACCAAGAAGGAATATTAATATGGCTTGAATTCTAATATAGCTCTTTTTATTTAATATACATGGCATAAGGTACAGAGCAGTGCTTATATGAAGTGTTTAATTTCTTATAAGATTAATATGAAGTAGCTCACATAATGTTTTTTTAAATTTAATACATATCAGTGAAAACCTCATTAGCCCCATACTTCACAGTTAAATCTTTGATTATTAAGACTTTCTAGGATAAGGAATGTTCTCAAAATAATATCTTCTCAATTTGTTGAAGAAAGAACTGAAATTTAGTGAAGCAATCAATGGATTGAGTTGCCACCTGTGAGCAAGTGGCTTTATACAAAAGGAGGATGTAGGATGACTCTTGTCTGTAAGAGAATGAAATGTAATCATGGGAAATAAACATAAAGAAATTAAACAGAAAATAACATCATACAGATCATCAATATGGCAGAAAAGGAAGCTACAGAAACTCTTTCCTCCATGGAGACACTGATTGAACAACAATACACAGACCAAGTCTCTTTGTAAGAAATACATAAGTTCAGTTAAGAGACATTTGTACCCCAGGTGACTGTGAAACCAGCTGTGTTGCGGGTGGCAGGAATATCTCTGACACTCACTCACCATAGCTCTTCCACATACTTAGTGAGACATAATTGGGAGAAAACTTCCAGCTCTGAGTCTGTCTCTGGGGAGGGAAATAGAAGACTAAAACATATATACAATGTGCAGGCTTTTCAGGGTGCTGCCCAAGAGACTAGTTTCTATCTTGATTGAATCTAAGTGCTGACAGGAAAGGGTGCAAGGTTTGGGGTCCCTGAGAACAAAGGTGAAGGTTTAGACTAGCACACATTCACTCACTAAATACATCCCCTCCCCCACCCCCAGCTCAGTGGGAAAGAATGGGCAAACCCCGCAACCCCTGACTTCTCCCTGTGAATGGAGTTTGCATTCAAAATAATGGCTTTTCAAGGGGGCTGTCTGAGAAATGGGTTTCCTCTCTCCTTTGTCTTAAAGCACTGACAGTACCTGGTATACCATCAGCCCTCTGTGTCCACGGGCTCTGAATTTGCAGAATCAATCAACTGCAGATCAAAAATATTCAGAAAAAATTCCAGAAAATTCCAAAGAACAAAACTTGAATTTGTCACATGCCAGTGATTATTTACATAGCATTCAAACTGCATTAGATATTATGAGTAATCTAGAGATGATTTAAAGTATACAGGATGTGCATAAGTTATATACAAGTATGATACCATTTTATATAAGGGACTTGAGTCCATGGATTTTGGTATCTGTGGGGGTTCCTGGAACAAATCCCATGTAAATACCAATGGAAAACTGCACTCTAGATGCCTGGGGGTGGGTGACTGAAAACAAAAGAGAGCGGGACAGTGTGCTGCTGCTCTTAAGGCAGCATGGTCTCTTCCTGGGGCTGGGGCAGG